AGATATAGAGATTATCCGGTTTTCCAACTCTAGAACACGCAACATATAATTGTCCATGTAATTTGTCTAAAAGAAGCAATTTGTCTCTAAATCTCCAAAGAAAAAGCACTAAATGTTTAAATTTCCTTTGAGACAGATTTTAATATTTCTCAATAAACAAGTTATATTAAAAAAACAATGTTTAAAACATTGTATCTCTGCACCAAATCATCCGATTTTAATGATCATTTTTTCTAATTTACATAATCTAAAAGAGCTTCAAGGAGAAGACTTTAGTCCAGTTTGATTAAAATCGATACAGCTGTTTAGACGCTATAGTCTATTGCCTCACACGATTTTCAGCCGCTTTTCCGAAACAGAAGACCGGGTGATAATTAAATTATATAAAATCATTCTTGAATACGATAAAAATGTTACGTAAAAATTTCAAAGCAATCGGTGAAGAAGTTTCAGAGATTAGTGGTTTCGAACAAACGAACATTTACGCCTCTATTTATATAGATTAGTTTGATCATTTGTTCAATGAATGCCGAGCTATGGATTAAACCCAGATTCTAAGCCAAAGTCCCTGGAGAAGTACTTTCAGTTATTAGTTAATAGATAGGGATTGAACTCGTTCTTTTTTAAAGTTTTTTTTTTTTTAATTGCTGAATTTAGAAATATAATAATCTGTCACGTGGACAATAATTATAGTGATATATGAACACATTCACATCAGTTTCGTAAAGTAATATTTTTTTTAAACTAAATTAATTTTTCGAACTTTAACAACGACGTTACATTATGAAGGCGGATATGAACAGATTGAGCAAGCAAGTTCTTTCCTTTACCACCTGGTGACACCATCACTTGCTCATGATGGAAATGCCAACTGGTGTAGGAGGTTTGCCTTTAGTGTTTAGGTTAAGGCTGTACACCTTTTGCCGGACTCGTTTTCCCATTCACGCCTTTCTTTTTTTTCTTTCTAAAAGCTGTTTTGGATAACTGATTGATGATAACATTTTTTGTGTTTTTCAACTTCCACTATCAGAAAGGTATGTAGATATACTTTTTATGTAGGTGCATGTATCAATAAAAGTCATTATTTTAGCTCATCAGATATAATACCTTCACCAGAATAGAAAATAATGGGACAGTAGAGGAATGGAAAGGGCCAATTAAGTTAATAAAAACTTGCACAGTTTAAATTAACAATGTTTACTATTGAATAAATAATATTTACCTATTAATAACTAGAAACTGTAAACATACAGTCATCAATAAATACTATAAATATGTATTATTTATTAACCTAACTTATTTACTCTAACCATGCCGGGAAGGATGATTAGACCATAGTACTACTAACTTAAATCACTTTTTATCGAATAAGAAAGAAGGTTATATAATAATTAGAAAATTTATTTAATTACACCGTTGAATTTACAAGTAAAATGAACAAAATAATTTATGATAATAAAAATATTTATAAATTATATATGTATTTTTTTTTTTTTTTTGCCAATACCGACCTTGTAGATATTTTGCCTATTCCTTGTTGATAACAAGCCTATTCCATCTCCGCCTAGCTTACGCTATTTCTTTCTAGTTATCTGCATGCAGTACTATTGTATGTTTGCTTATTCTACACATCTGCTTTTTGGTCTTCCACGTGGTCTTTTGCCTTCTATTGAGGCAATCATTATTAGTGTTGCCCAAATGCGAGACCGAGACGAGTCTTGGTCTTGCAAACCCAGTCTTGATCATGGTCTTGGTCTTGAGCAAGAGTCTCGCAACAGTCTTGCAGTTACTTATTCGTTTATTACTATAGAGATATTACTGCAATTTTTTAGAAAGGAGAAACCTAACTAAGTCCGAATGAAAAATTCGAAGTTTTAAATACAAAAGTATATTAGTTATACCAATTATTAATATATAGTAACTAAGATTGTCAAGTTTTAGTAACTAGTTTGCCTTAATTTTTATTTGAAAAAACGATTTTTTTTACCAGTCCTGGTCTTGGTCTTGCAACAGTTAGGCGGCGTTGGTCTTGGTCTTGCAAAGTGCAAGACCAAGACCGATTTTGGGCAACATTAATCATTATTATGTAGAGTTTTCCATATGGATTGCTCCACGCTAAGTGTTCCAACCACCTTAACCATCGCGCTTTCATATCATAAGATATTGATATGCTCAGTTTCTATATGCAGTTCTTTATTGGTATTTCTTCTCTATGTGTAAGTACTCTGATCCCAGATCGCTCCGGTTATCGTGCGGAGGATTTCTCTCTCAAATCTTTCTATACTTTTTTCTAGAGCGCTGCTTAGTGTCCATATCTCACAGCCATTTATTAGAACTGGCTTTATCATAGCATAGTACACCCTAAATTTGAGATTTTTCGGGATTTCAATACCTTCGTTTGCTCATTTTATAGGCTGGTCTATTTCCGACCGTTGACTATTCATTGAGGTTATTGTGGGCCCGAGGTATTTGAATTATTTAACTCAAGGTAACGATTTTCTTTATATGTAGATTCTGTTATTGGGTAGGAGGTATTTACGACTTATTATCATATATTTTGTTTTGTCTTAATTTACTTGTAGGCCGATTTACTCTACTTCTCTTATCAGAGTCTTAGCGATTTTTGCGATATCCTCTTGTTTACTTTCAAGGATAGCTATATTATCTGCATACCCAAGGATTTTATGATTCATTCCAACGTGATCCCCTCCATTTGCGTGTAATGCTGTTTGTATCACATTCTCCAGAGCTAAGTTGAACATCAGCGATAATCCATCTCCCTGGCCCGTTCGAACTCTGAAGGCTTTCGATACTCCTCCTGTTAGAACTCGATATCAAGGGTCATTTGTACACGCCTTTGTCTGCCAAATCATTAAGGCTCATTCTTATTTAAAACAACATTAAAGAATACGTATATATACATATTAAAATGTTTTTATTATAATGCACCTATCAATAAAGTATCATGTTACGACTTCATAATTATTCTAATTAAATCAGGTTGATTTATTAAATTTATTATGCGAAATCTGTTGCCGCATTGCGGTTACCTTGCTAACAAACAATGGAACCAATATGATTTTCTAGAGATTTTTTCTCTGAAGGAGATAGGTCAAAATTAAAGTAGTCATTTTCAGTTATTATTCATAATTTTAATTTTAAGGAATTATCAAAGATCAATCAAAAATTATCTTAATAAACGTTTCTGGTAGGGATATGCAAAAAATTATTGAAATTAACCGGTTGTCGTTATCGAAATCTTCAATTACAGACAGTGTGGGAAAATGGGGAAAACCACTTTTTAAAAAGTTTTCTACAATGTTTTGAACTCCAATTAACGTTTCGATTTATATCAAGTTTAGTTAAGAGATTCTACCAATTTTGAACAAAACCAACGAAATAATATGTTCTTGACGTAATAGTGATTTTTTCATTAGTTTATAAAAAAAAGTTATTCAGTGAAAAAAAGCGTCTATTTTCAAACCAAAATGGTTACAAAATTTGGAAAAAATTCGTAAGACGATCGGAACGAATAGCAAAAATAGGAACACGTACCAAAATAATAGAAAAATCAGTTTAGTCTCTGGGTAAAACGCTCCAGTCCTGTAAAATAATAATAGTATAATATATAAAATGAGGTTAAATAACGGTATAATGACAATCATCAGCTCCATGGTGATATGCTATGTGCTTCTGCTATGTACTCCACTAACAATTAGTAGAACCTTTGTCTTATCAATGATCCTCTTTCACTGATAGTCCAAGAGCTGAGTCGAAATTTTGTGATTTATTTGAAGACACTAGTTTTACACCATTATAATATTCTTTTTTCTCCTCCCTTCCTCGCTTTTTAGGCTATAAAGGCTTTCTCTACATCAGGGGAAAGGGCGGGGGATTAATGCCACAGCTAAAAAAGCCTCTCCCGGCACCGGGACGCGAACTCAAAATAATTTTATTATATCTTCTTCAGGATTTAATATTTTAGGAGCCTTCAGAGTGAAAACCTTAAATGAAGGGCAACCAGTGTTTAGGTCAATTCAATTTTGTAGGGGTTAAATTTATTTTTAAAAAGTTCTATTTTAAAAGTTTCAAAGGAACTCTCTTGAAATGTAAGTTTTAATGTAGAAGTTTCGAAGAATTTTATTGCAATAAAGATCTAGATTTTTCATAAACGTATAACTTTATGAGTTCTTAAATAGTTTAGTTCTTAAAAAAACGTTTAATATTGAGAAAAAAAGAAATCGTATTTAAAATATCGCTGGAATAGGATAAAAACATTTCCTTTGTTTGGGAAGGCATAAATGTCGTTTACAATTACCACTTTTAGATATACTTCTTGAAGAAATGAATTGCTCAAAAGGAACTCCTAAATAATAGTTTTTTAAAATTAAAGTTTTATAAAAACATATATCGAAAAATTCACATGGAAAAAAATTCAATTTCCTATGGAACTGAAAGACTATTGACAATAAAACTTTCAGTGATACTTTTTAAAATTAGAAGTTTATTTTCCATTTCAAGCCCTCCTATTTTATCATCGATATACAAAATAATATATATTTTAAACCATGCTAATTGTTTAAATAACGTTTTTAATGCAATATGATATTAAATAATATTGTCATCAATAAAACTAACAGTTAATAATATTCTATATGTATAAAAAAATGTTTGGAATACCATTATGATAGTGCAGATATGAAGTACCACTGACAGTGCAGCCATGTTGGATACCTAATACTTTACTTTAATATATCTCATTTTTGTTTTAAAAATTAAAGTATTTAATTATGTGAAATGATTTCTGGACATAACTGTTTATGTTATGATGAGTTTATAGTACCTAATAACATGGAATGTATTTTGTTTTATGATATGTATTAATGTGGTAGCTATCTTGATACATTATTTTTTTTATCATTACAGTAGTAACAGGAGATTAATGATTTGGGTTAATAAATAAACAATGACATCAGTGGATTTTTGAATAATTTTTTTACTGGCAGTATAGTACAAACAAACCATACATAACTTACATAGAATATAATTACAGTGCATTTGAATCGAGTGTATAACAAATACATATTCATAAATATTATATATTTGACACAAATAACTTAATTGCACAAATATAGCTTCTACAATATTTAAATTTGTGGAAATTAAGTATTGTAGTTTGGTTTGTCTTAGGAACTATGGACCCTGTCATATACTGTGTAAAAGGTTATTTTTGTCTTACACGGTTCTCCATGATAAATTGCATTTTCTTATTTTATTTAATTATAATAAATAACATATGGGCCATTTTGTTTCAATTCATCAAATAAAATTTTTAAAACAAACACTACAATAACTTGAGAGTTAATAGACGATTGATTGTTCATACCATGAAAATGAATTTTTCTCCCACTGAAAATATTGAGGCTTAGGTTTTACAAGGCAAGATCTAGCAAGAACAATATATTTAGGTCTATTGGTTTTGTCTTATTTACCTAGTAAGCTGTATACAAACAAAAATAATATAATAAAGCTCGGTAACTGTGAATATTAATACTTCATTAATAAGATGCATGCAAATAGGACAAACAACAAAAATCATTTTAATACTATACATCAAAAAAGTATTTATTGGTTAAGAACTTTTTAGTTGATGTATATTTTAGTGAAGAGAGCTCCACTTAATTTTTAAGTATAAACATTAATTTAATTTAGGCTTAAACCAATGATTTGTTTTCCCTCGGATATATTATTATTTTAAACTACTTCAGTGAATGCGAATGAAAATAGTTTTATTAATTTTGTGAAATAGTCAAGTTTTTCCTTAACATAGAAACTAATCTAATAAATGATTCTACTTGAATACATTATATCATATATCATATATCAGTAACAAATATTTTCAGTTTCATTTATAAAACTATTTTCATCAAGAAAACTTAAGAAATTATTAAATTGACTAGAATTGAATATTCTTGAGTGAAAGGTAGACCTGATAAAAATTAATTAGTTATATTATGAAAGTAATAACATTATTTACCCCTCGATTCATTAATAGTAATAACATTTATTATACAATATTATAATACAATAGTGGGTACACAGATTATATTAAGTTTTAAATCCTAATAGTTAGATATCATACTGAATATTATAAATATATCAGAGGGAACACAGATTTCTTCCTATTGCAGCATTTTATTTTATGGTATGACAGGTTGTCTCGTATTAACTATTTACAAATTTTCATTTATTAGAGATTTAATTCACATTTACACAACATGAAATAAAAATAAGTGCATGACAGATCACTTACGTATTTATAATAGATAGAGATATTTCTATTTACAAAAAACACTACATATAAATAACTACACAATAATACTCTGTTTACAATAACAATATAAACAAATACTCCCATCTAAAGTTCGACCTTTGGCAGCATTCAGCACTTTTATAAATTATGTATTTAATGTGTTAATAAACGTGAAAACAAAGCACCACAACACTGACCCGTAATAGTTGTAATTTAAAACAAATGTCTCAATTAAAACCACAATAAATAACGGACATGATTTAAAATTCAATTAAACTATAAAACATTTTTAAGAATTTCAAGTGACATTAAAAATAAAATCGTTTCTGTTAGAGTTTAGGATTTAATAAAAAGTATTGAAACATAAATAATAAAATATAAAAGAGGTTAGAAGGGAGTGGACCAATGCGGTCGGTAAGAAGAGGGCCTGTTGTGGTGGGGTGGCGTTTGCCAGACGACCTGGGACCTGTCCCAAGAATGAGGCCACCAATAGGAAGATACCACTGAGGAAGGGTAGGTCTCCGGGAACCTGACGTAGGAGGAGGAGGAGGAAGATGGTCGTTTCCTCGGATCAGGGAATTCAGGGAACCGAACTGTGTTCTTTGGTGGAGCATAGCTCTCAGTCACCACTGTCTCGCCTGCCTCCTCGCAGTCTTCACATTTCATGCTCGTCGGCAAGGTAGAGGTCTCCACTCCTGTCGAGCCTCCTGTCGTCGTGGTCGTGCTCTCCATGGCTAGGGTAGTCCTCATCGTCGACACGGGAAGGGTCTCTTCGGTCACTTGCGTCGAAGTCGTCACTCCTTCTGTGGTGGTTGTTTCGGCTGTTGTTTCCATCGGCATTGTTGTATTAGCGACCACTATTAGGAACTGTGTCTCTGTCGGTTCCTCGGTAGTTGCGGCCGTGGTAGGCTCCGGCGTTGTGGTCGTAGTGGAAGCAGGATCTTCATCAATAGGGATAGGGAACCTGAGAGAAGTCGAAGCATCCTTCTTAGGCGGCTCCGCAGGCGCAGCGTACATGGAATTAAGCTTCTGTAGAAAGAAATCCCACTGAGCCTGCTGGTTGAGCTTAACCACCTTGACGCAGCGGCCCATACTGTCTTGCCTGTATCCTTCTGAGCAAGAAGTGAACGTCGGTGCGAGGAAGACGCTTTTGGGCGTGATTCTGCGTAAAACGAGCGGAGATTGCTGGGGAGACTCGTGGACTAGCAACCAGGCTAGCTCCGTGCTCTCCCCGAGGTGGGGGGCCGAGAGTACTAGTCCTGAACAGAGGGCGGCCCACAGCCACACCTCCCACATCCCACATGTCACCTACAGCAAGGCCTGCAACAGATAAAAAAACAATTATTACTAAAGGAACATTAAAACATTACAAAAATAATAAATAACAATGTTTGTGGTTAAGAATTACATTAATTGACCGCGGATGGATGTTAGGACCATCAGCTGAGCCTGAAAGCGGCCTATATATTTAATCGTAGGAAAGGTGATATGACGGACCTCGTGATCACGATTACGGATGTGTAAGTTTGCACACAAGATTTTTTAATACATAGATAGGTGTGAAGTTCACACTGTGTACATTGCCTAAGTAGAACTAATTATCGGATAAAGCTTCCTGTATATAATGGACCTGAAGGATTACAAACTGAATAATAAATCGTTAATAGGTATTGCGGCCACGTACGGCCTTCAGAACGGCTGAGATATTAAACTCATTCAAGTGCATCACTTCTCCTTATGACCCTATTCTTAATAGATCGTAAGTTATAAATTCTCAATCCAAACAGTATAAGGAAGGGAATATAATGCAATTTATTTTATTCATTTATCGCAGGCCCTAGTACAATTAAGAGTAATATTAGCATTACTACTATCACTTCCAATTCATCAGAGGTAGGTCGTAAAATTTGATATGATAATTTAAAAAAATATTAAAGAATCAATAAAGAAAATTTATAAAATCTACTAATGAATTGGCAAGAATAAAGGATTATGGGGTTCTACATTGGAGATGGCTATGAAATTATAATTAAAAATTAAAATGTAAATAAAACATCATAACTCCTATCATCATAACTTAATAGGAAAAAAAATGAATATTAGGAAACATCTAAAATATAAATTTGTTAATTCTTGACCTTCATAAAATCTTAGGAAATAAATGTAATTAGCAAGAAAGATGTAAAGTGGTTCAACATTTTATATTTTTTCTCTATGAAGCTATTTCAATTTATTTTGTAAAATTTGAATTAAACTTTGCCATATTTAATGATGAACATTGCTAGGAATTCATGGAAAATAGTTAAAAGATGATCAAGTTACAGTACCTTAAAGAACTCAGTTTTACTAATGTAAAAATCTAGACAAAGTAGAGAGTTAAGTTCGCTTATGATATTAAGGATAAATAATTCATCTAATAAGTATCAGCCTACTATTCGTGTTTAACAGTCTTTCAAGTGCATTCAGAATCTTCCTGAATAACCACGACAAATTAAGATGGTTTTGGAAGACATTAGAGATGGAGGAGATGAGCTGGAAGCACGTCCAGATAGAAGAATCCTGGAAGAGGGAAGGGCGGTGGGAGCTCGCTCTATTCAGCAGGCCGTGGCCACCGGCGGGAGATGACCCGGAAAATAGAAGGAACGCGGAAGGAGGAACGGTTCTGACTTTTCAGTCTTTCTTTTCCATTGTTCGATTGGAATCTGACCAGTTTCTGGCCCTCTATATCTCTTCTCTCCGGAGCCTCCCTTCTTTTGTCACCCTTCTTTGAAGACTTTTACGACCACGGGAATACCACTGCGCCTTCCACTATCCCGAGGTGTATGATGACAATCAATACCATGCATGCGAGATTCTTCGATAACCTAGATTTGATAAGCAGTATAACATCGTAGACAGTAAAGCAACGAAAATCAAAACGGTTAAACTCCTTAAACAGAAGGTACTGACTGCCCTGTCTTCAACCTGGTACAATGGGCTACACCCATTGTTGCCTACGACAATACCTCTGATTAAAGGGGTTTAGAAATAGATAATAAATTCCATAAATTAGAAAAATAATGATTTACATAATCACATCTACTAAATGTGTTTCTGTTATACTTAATTATTGGTCTTATTCCCATTGATGTCACTTTATATCACCTTACAGGGTTTAAATGTTCAACATGTCTTCCTCTAAAGTACATTTAATTTGGTGTATTTTAAAGAATTAACCATTTCTCATCATTAAGAATTACAAAAAATACTAAATATAACTTTTGAAAAAATTCGATAATTGAAAAAAGGAGAAAAAAGGTAAAATGTTTATTTAGGTGGAAAATACATTTCCGGAAATATTATTCAGAAAGTATAAGTATAATACATCGTTGGAAAGTGGAGAATTTTAGAAAAAAACAATATCTAATATAGAAAGTCGTAGAAAGTAATGGAGAGTGACGAAAAATTATAAATAATAATTTGTGAAAACTAATATTATTAAACGGAAATCACTTGTTTTTAAGGAAATTAAATGAAATTCACTAACTAAATGTAAACTTTTATAAGTTTGAAAAAAAAAGTATTTAAAAAATATTTTATAGTACTTAATAAAGAAGAAGTAAAATATTCATGGATGTATGAAGCATTGATGTATGAAGTGCTTATAACCTTTAAAACATTTACTGTAATTTAATAATTCTAAATTCAAGGCAATCTCAGAGAATGGAATTATGAGGTTTACAAAAACAGATGGAGTAAAGGGGTTTTTATCGTCTACCGTTGATATAATTAATAGGGTTTTTGTTATTTTAGCGGTCTTTGTTAGCTGTAAGCTTTAAGATTTAGCTCCGTTAAAAATGCACTTCAAGAATGTTATAATTGCTCAACATTGCCAGAAAATAATTGCAATTCAAAGTATAGAGATAAGTGAAAGTTGTGTGTTGCGCGCACCAGATTTTTCAAACATTAATTCGCAAAAAAAGGTAAATGAAAATATTTTATGAAAACTGTCAAAACATTCAAAAACAAAAACAGTATAAAGGTTAATGTTAATAAAAGATTCTAAATTGTAATATACTTTATGTTGAATTTTGACCGATTGTTGTACTTTATGTAGCCTTTTTGATTTTCAGTATTAGGCTGTTTAAAAGAGGTATATTATCTTTCTTATACATTGGTGTGATTTTTAGCTCTGATAGTATCTGAGTTGGAGTATTATCGACTGATTTTTTATTGAGTCTTACAACTATAAATTAAGAATTAATATGAGGCTTTATATAGTCATCTCGTTACTTTCACTTACCTATATATGTAATATATAGTAAGGGAAAGTATTGCGATCGTGAAAATATCCGAATCTGTGTTTTCAACGGGAATACACGTTTTAATATCTGAAACGTAAAACGCGAGTGAAAAGTTTCGGTTCTGAACACACAGGTTTGTTTAACTTTTCGCGGGAATACAATGTTTCCATATTTTCGGTAGTGAGGAAGCAAAAATAAAATTGTGCAGAGGCTTATTAAGGATTATGAATTTTCAAAATGAAAAGTTTCTAATAAAAAGACGAGTGGAAGCATGCAACAGACCGCAGTGTGTGTAATTATTTGATAACTGTATATGATCTACGAATATTTAAATACTTTCGTTTGCACTGTTTTTAAGAAGAGGAGAAGAATAAAATATTTTGGGATGGGTGGAGGAAGGTTTATGCGACATGGGCCTTGGGGAGGGGAATGGGTACACCTGAAATAATGAATATTACGGTATAAACTTCCTATAATTTAGTCACATTAATAAATTTTAACAGTTAATCGGGTAGCCCTATTGGTAACCTGTTACTTATTGGATTCCTGTAACTGCATTGGGACACAGTAATAGGTATTGGGGAACTAAGAGAGCGGTGCTATAACAGACTTGGCCTGTCTTTCTCTTCCAATGGAAGCTTTAAATATTCCCAAGAGACTTTCACCAGCAACTCTCCTTAGCCGGGGAGGTGTTACTAGACTGCCTTGGCTTAGTCCCCCGCATACCTCAACAACAGCTGTCTGCTCCAAATCTACATATCTTTAGTCTTTATTGAGGTTATATTATACTACAATTTAAAGGAGTAATACTTTAAAACACCGAAATTATTAATGAAGTTTCTGTGCATTATAATAGAAAAATCATAAAAAAGTTATTACAAAAAAATAAAATCATAATAGTTACTTTAGATTAAGGTTAGCGGATCTGACGTAAATATAAAGCCAAATCCCTTCTTTATTCAAATTATGGACTTTATGTCTTGAAAATTATACTAGGGAAATATGTCCTCACTAACAAAAACTCTCACTTTTTTCGATGAAACTTTATTAAGGCGTATTAGCCAAAGAATTGCAAATAAAAAATTGAATAAATTTAAAGATCAATTTGAAATTAAAAAAAAAAAATTGTTTAGTGTAACAATTAAATTTTCAAAATTATAAGATTAAGGAAGGAGATGGTCCGAGGTGGCGGTCATAAATAGACCAAATGGTGACAAAACTATTTTATTAAAAGCCAACTTTTCGACGTTTCATTTCTAAGCGAAACTACTAGCTGAGCACACCTCCCTGAAGAAGATCTGCAAAGTCGGGTAGAAACATTGGCTTTTAATAATATAGTTTTGCCACTATTTAGTCTATTTATGACCGCCACGCCGGAACATCTCCCTCCTTAATTATACAACGGTCAACTATTAAGTATTCATTATGCATAAGATATTTGGGCCACTAACTGAATAAATGACTGACATGGGCAAACCACATAAAAAAGACAAGATCTTATTCAGCGATACGGACTTCTTAAGTCCGTTCTTAAGTTCTGTTCTTCTCAAGTTATGAAGAATAGAACGAAGAAGTCAAAAAAAAAAAAAAAAAAAAGTGTCGCCCAAATGCGAGACCGAGACAAGTCTCGGTCTTGCATTTGGGTCAACAAGGTCTTGGTCTTGCGCAAGTATCACGCAGTTACCTATTAGCTTATTTTTTTTTAGAGATTTTACTGTATTTTTTTAGATAGGAGAAACCTAACTAAGCTCGAATGAATAATTAGAAGAGTTAAAAGGAAAAGTATATTGGTTTTACCAATTCTTTACACGTAGTAACTAAAATTGACAAGTATAATTTAATATTTTTCTTAATTTGTATTCAAAAAATCGATTTTTTTTACCAGTCTTGATCTTGCAACAGCTAGGCTGTCTTGGTCTTGCAAAGTGCAAAACCAAGACCGATATTGGGCAACAATAATTCAAAGTTCTTTAGAACATTGTTGACGGACTCTTAAATATGTATAATTTGACGTTACAAACTGATCTTAACATCATG